GCGACAATCAGTCTTGGTTATATAGAGAATGCCTTTTTCTCATCTACACTATTTTTTTCATTACATATAATTTTTTTTTAATTCTTTTACTCTTTAATTTTAATATTCATACTTGCAGGGCAAAATTAAAAAGTGAATAACCTTAAAAATATACCAAGTATGCACCAAATATTTGCAAGGAAAGTGACTCAGATTTGTATTACTCACATTTTTACCAGTGTAATATTTATTTCCTAGGAAGGAAAAAAAAAAGTTGGCCAGAAGTACTTCAACTTCGTAACTGATTTCAGCAGTTGCTGATCTTTTGTGGGGTGGTACATTAGTCTCAGGTTGAAACACTGGTCACCTCCCACAGAATTCCAGGCTGTATATAATCTGCCTTCAGCTCTATATCATTTGGCAGTTCTCCCTTTTCATTGACACGGAGCATTTGGGGGGACTAATACAATGAAGGTTATATTCTTATCCCTCTTTGCCATCTTTCTGCTGAATGCATTTGACCATGCAGAGAGTAATGGGTATTATGACAAGATTTTGTCACACAGTCGCATAAGAGCTAAGAAACAGGGGTAAGTATTTAGTTATTTTAACTTTTGTTAAAAATAGATACATATTTATAATATTTTTTTTTAATCCCCCATGATAATTTTTTCTTAGATTATAAATGATAATATACAGAAGGTCATCCATTGTTATTGTTTCTTCATTTTTAATATTTCATGTCCTTTCTTATAAATTATTCGATTTGTTACGTTTATTCTTAAAATTCATTGCAGCTGGAACTCTCAAACAAAGAACATAGATACAGAGCAGGATACTGTGTGCTGAAAGTTGGTAGCAGAGGAAATTCATTTTTAGCAGTATTTTTTTTAGACTTAATTACTATTACTATTTCAATCCTTTTATTCGTATTGATTTATTTTTATAATTATAAATGTTTAGTTTTTACATACAACATGTTTTATGCATAGTATATTCTTCTTCTATATTCCATTGTTCTTTTAGTGCATCTAACAATATTACAAGATGCTAACCAAGTGCTGTAGTTTTCTTCAGTTGCAAAAGTTGTGCCTGCAGTATTTAAGCTGATTTAACAAAAGAACTGACAGCTGCATATTTTCAAAGCAGCCTCAACACCGTGATCAGTGTGTATATATATATATATATAAATATATACACACATTTTTTTTATTTTTTTTTACAGTTTTGCATATTCACATAGTTGTCCTGTACCTTTACAATTGCAAGTTTGACTTTGTTCACTGGGTAGCAGAAACTAAATAATGAATTTCCCATATTAAATTAGTCTTAAAAACTCAAAACAAATTTATTTCAACAATCGATGTCACTCATATATGCAATAAAATGTTATTGACTAACAGTGATTTGCAAGTTTACAGTCATTTAGGGCACTTAATCTGTTGTTTGCTTAGCTGTGTTTGGTATAGAAGATGCTGAAGGTGGGTCTTTGCAGCCACTGATTGCTTTTCAGTACACTGGCAGCTCTGTGAACAAAGAAGCTTCCACTTTCCAGAGCACATGGCAATTGTACAAGGAAAATTAGTTTGGTGTGGTTTACTGCCTCACTGGTAATGGAAGGGAGCCCCCTGTAAAATGCTATAAAGCACAACTAACACGTTCCAGGGCACCTGGTGACCGCTGTAAAGTTCAGCACTCATAAAGCTATCTTTGTTTGCTAATTAAAGAACTGGCACAGGATAGAGTGGATAGCGATTTTCACTATTTTTTTCCACTATAGATACCATGACAGCGAATGCATAAATATAAATAATAGTAAGATAATAACTTAATGAAAAGTTGAAGTCATAATAATTTTTTTAAAATTTTCCTAATTTTTCCCTTGTTTAGCCCAAATGTCTGCGCTCTGCAGCAAGTTATGGGAACCAAAAAGAAGTACTTCAGTACCTGCAAGAACTGGCACCAGGGGGCAATCTGTGGCAAAAAAGCGTAAGTGTCAGGAGGCTGTCTATACTTTAAGTGCTAGTTCTGCTGTGTGGACCAGAGGTGTGCAACTTGAAATGCTTAAAAATGCCCTCCATTATTAGATTTACGATGCATTTCTTTGGGAATTCCATTTTGTGAGCTCTAGAATAATGGCATGTTAACAACTGGAGTCCTAATTTCCACATTAAGATAGTCACTACTGCACATTTACTATACAATGGGGGAATAAAGTAACAAGTGAATGTCATGCCAATAATGTGTTTTATATATAATGCAAAAGTGATCCAACAAGACTAAACGTAATAATGACTGAGGTCAAATAAGTTCCTTCTAAGCAGCCTGGAATAAATGACTTGTTGAATAATGGTTTCCTGTGGAAAATTAAATGTGTTCCAAATTATTTTCTGTATGGGATTTAGATGTATGAGCCTTGTACTGTACTTGATTCATTTAAACAGCTCAACAGAAGTGAAAACCTTTAAATAGTGATTCTGGAAACATTTCCTTGGCTGGATGCCCAGTATGATAGCAGTGGCAGTTGTGGAATAGATAGCGGAAGCTGTGGTCATTGTGTTGTAGCTCATGCAGTAGCTAGTTATTGATTTCTTAGGCAGACTAAAATACTGAAGTCACAGGATGAATATCGAGGACACTAAATATGTACATTGTAAATGTATGCAATATGTAAAGTAGTACTGCATTGGAGAATAGTTCTAGATCCTATGAATGCAATCCCTGGTTTGATCCATTTTGAGTACATACATTGGGCACCTGTATATATGTTGGTTATCAGAAGTTGTCCACAAAAACGTGCATGGGCCAGGCACTTAGATCTGGGGCAAAAATGTCAACCACAAAGTAGATCAATCCAGGGCTTAAGTTGGTAGGCTAAAGAGTAGGAAACGCAAAGTGAGTGCAGTTTTTATTCTGCGCTTATTACCTCCCAGTCCCCTCTGTGGGAGATGAAATTCCTCAAAGGTGCTGTAAGGCATTACATTTTTATAGCTGATATAATTACTTTACCTTTTAGGCATAGGAATTATGAAAGTCACACCCAGCTATACATCTAAAACACCTTTCTTATGAACAAAAGAGGCAATGAATTGCAGCCCAAGGGGAAATGTAATTGCTGCCAAGATCAGACATCTAGTTAGGCAAAAAAAAAAGAGTGGAATCAGGTTGCAATGGACAACAACTCATATTTCCCTTCTCTTAATCTAAGAAATTAGTTTGGTTGATGTTTCTCTTCAGTATAATAGCATTTGTTAACTAGCCCAGAGCAGTATACTTGTATGCAGAACAATTTGTATATGAATATTTAAGCATCTTAGAAAAGACCACAAATGTAAGGTTGAATTCTGCATTCACATCCTAGGTGTTTGCTGCTACTTCTCATGTAAGTGAAGCAGATACTTCACACAAAGCAATGTAGAGATAACGGTCATACATGTCTAGGATAGCCTAGAGTAGTGGTACAGTTGTTTGCACAGCTGTAGCCCTGGGGTTCTAAGTTCAGTTCCTATTAGGTCAATAGCTAGATGTATTTTGTATGTTTTCCTGATGATTGTGTGGGTCCCCTTTAGAAAGTCCTGTTTCTTTGTATGATCTCATTCACAAGTATACTCTGCCTATAGAATATAGTGCTGATATGCTTGAATTACAATAGCAAGAACACTCGATGCAGTGATGTATGTAAGCCATAAGAAAATATGTTTGTTAGACTTACAACTCTTTAATATGTTATTCTCATCTTAGCTTTTATATTTGCATTTTTTGAAAAGAACAAAAAGGACAAGTGATACAAGAGGTGGTAGTTGTGTGGGAATGAATTGTTTGAGAAAGTGATAGCTCAGTGGTTAGGTTGATGTGGGATCGGTTTCTATGAAGAGATGAGTGTTCATGGATCACCTAAAGACAGATAGAGTAGGAGATAGCTGGACATGTTGGGGTAGGGAGTTCCAATGGATGGGAGAGACTTTAGAAAAGTCCTGGAGGTCTTGGGAGGAGCGGAGAGGACGGTTAGGGTAAAACTTTGAGATGTTTTTTCCAAATGTCCGCCGGTGAGTCCAATTTTATGTTATCAGCCACTTTGTCGCTTCGTCGCTGAAACAAACTTTAAGTTTTATTTATTAGATTTTTGTTATACACCTGAAAAATTGATTACAAAGTAAAATATATTCAATGTGGACACTGTAGGTTAAAGAGATTCTCTGTGAAGTGTCACAAATTTAGCTTACACTTGCACTAAAACTTATCATGTAGGTGCTGGATTGAGATTCATTAAATATGTTAGACAGTGCAATACATTCTGGAAACAACTCTATGCTTTGCCTAGAATCATACTCATATGGAATTAATCCTCATAGGGACCCTGTGACAAACTTTGTGTACTGCAACTAAGACCACCCTGTAAAAGGAGTAGGTACATACTTACCTTTCTGTTAGTGTTCAACAGCAGTCTATTAGTATCCAGCAAAAGTCAATGTCCAGCAGCAGCCAATGTTCAAAGTTGAAAATTGACTACTGCTGGAGTAAATGTTGACCACTACAGGACACAGTAGTGACATAGGGGTCAGCAAAAGGGACCACAAATTGTGGTGAGAGACCAGCTAGTGGACACTCCCAGAAGTGTTGGATACCAGTAAAGGGCAGAGATTTGGGATGCAGCAAAGTTTTAGGATGCCACTCATTGGAAAGGTATGTATTTACTGTGTTTTTTTACAAGGTGGACTGATTTACAGTATAGAAAGTTGGCAACAGGGTCACTTTATGGCAATGTAAAGATCAAAAATCATTCAGAAAATGCACCAACTTATAGCAGCCAATCAGAAATAATCATTAACTTGATCAGGTACCTGATATTTGCTTGGTTGCTTTGGCTTATTGTACTTGTTAACATTAAGCTTGATGAGCCCTGCATTGAGACAAATGGCTCTGGCTAGAAAGACTTTAACTGAAAAATCATAGCGAAGCTCACAGAATCTTAAATACAGGGGCTTGAAGTATGATTTACTAAAGGTGGAAATTTTGTCTACAATCTAGCAGTGAGGCTGGGATGATGTATTTGTTCCCTTCTGTAGGTAACCCATTTGATAAAAGTATGTGGGATAAAAAGCCTGAGTGTCCTGCAGAGCCAAAGGAACCGCAGATTAGGGAGTTTGTATGGATTGATAACACTTCTGGTCCGAGGTGTGTCTTGGAGCATGTCTGGAGTGAATTTTGATTCCAGTATCTGCTCTTGCCATGAAAGGATAAATCTTTACATTTCCAACCATTCCCCAGTTTGTTAGCAAAGGGGATTTGGGACTAATCTAGATTTGTTCCAATTAGTTGACATACATCTAATCCCTTCAACACAAACATTTCTATCGGTATCCTAAGAAATGTATTGTTTCTTTCTAGGTTTTATTTTAAAATGTAAAGCCCAATAACTTGTTGTAGGATTATTTTACCACATATGTGTTTATTTAATAAGGCGGTACACATTGCTATGTCTACGTGCAAAATTCAGTACCCCATGAACACCAGTGCATCATTTTATGAGTTTATGCTATGGCTTACTACACTTTGTATGTCGACACTCTACTCTGTGCTGCTTAGATACCTCACACAAAAAGTAAAACTCAACAGTTTAAGGGTAGGTGCAGACTGTATAGGATCCTGGCTCTATGAGACCAAGAGTGCCCCACCTGTAATTTTAGGGTTCATTGAATGTATGAGAACCGCTCCTGTGGTGTCCATTTGCCATTGGCTGTTTTGAAGAGTGTTTTGGAGAGGATATGTCCTGTACAGATACTTTTCACTGTGCTCAGCAAAAGAGCCAAGTGCAGCCAAGTGTATGCAGTCTAAGAACACAACTGAGAAGGTTCAATACAATTCGAAAGCAAAAGATGAGGGTTGCTGGGTCTTGTTTGGACTGGACTGAATGCAGTTTGATGCAAGCTGGTCTCATGTTATTTCAGATTGTCTGAATACACCTACGCTAGTGTATGGTATTTAATGCACTAATGTTAAATGTTCAACGTTGAACATTAACTACTGTACATCATTTCTATGAGTGTAAACCACTAGGGGGAGTTCTTATACCTCAATCATTGAAGCACACTCTAATAACAGTTTTCTTCGACTTTGTTTTTTGTGTACATATGATTTGCATTATAAATGTTTAATTATGAATTCAATTAATTAAATAACTTTAATATGTGTTACTGTTCCAATCAGTTTGCCTTTTCGTTTTCTTTTGGGATCAGAACTCATTTTCTGGAGGTATTTAATTGATATTATTTTTTGCTTTCAAAATTTGGAATATGCAATGAACAAATAACAAACACCCTTTAACCGCTTGAAGACCAGGTGTTCAGACCCCCTTCCTGGCCAGGCCATTTTTCAGTATTCAGCGCTGTGGTACTTTGACTGACATTTATTCTGTCATGCAACGCTGTACTGAAATTAATTTTATACCATTTTTTGGGGACAGATAGAGCTTTCTTTTGGTGGCATTTAATCACCACTTTTATTTTTTATTATATTCAGGAGAAATTACTGAAAATTTTGAAAAACAAAAGTTTCTTTTTTACATTATGTTATAAAACAAATAACATTACCCACTTTTTTGGTAAAATATATAAGACGGGGGCACATCGGGTAAATAGACACCAAACATGTCAAGCTTAAAAATTGCGCGCACTCGCGAAATCGCAAAAAAACTAGCATATCCAAAATTGGCCATAGGTGACGCTTTAAAAGCTTTTGCAGCTCATCAGTTTCGTGTTATCAGTGATTGATGGCCCTAAAATTATTGCTCTCAATGCGACGTTCGCGGCGATATGTAACATGTGCGGCGTAATGGGCGCAATCGTCGTTTTCGCAGGTATGCGCACCTGACGCATGTTTACATGCGTGTATGTAGGGGTGGGGACTTTAAAAATAAAATAAAAAATTATTCTTTTTTATGTGTAACTTAAAAAAAAATTGGGGAAACTTTACATTTTTTTCCTTTTTTT